CCAAGAAGCAAGCATCTTTTTAATTTCATGGCTGCAGTCACTATCTGTGATGATTTTGGAGCCCAAGAAAATAAAATCTGTCACTGTTTCCCCATCTATTTGCCATGAAGTGATGGGACTGGATGCCATGATCTTTGTTTTTTGAATGCTGAGTTCTTTAAAAAAAAATTAACTTATTTATTTTAATTGGAGGCTAATTACTTTACAATATTGTGGTGGCTTTTGCCATACATTGACAGGAATCAGCCACAGGAAAGGGGGTTCAGGATGGGGGGACACATGTGCACCTGTGGCTGAATGCTGAGTTTTAAGCCAGTTTTTTCACTCTCCTCTTTCACTTTCATCAAGAGGCTCTTTAGTTCCTCTTCGCTTTCTGCATTAGAGTGGTATCATCTCATATCTGAGATGCTGATATTTCTCCTGGCAATCTTGTATCCAGCTTGTGATTCATCCAGCCCAGCGTTTTCCAAGATGCACTCTGCACAGAAGTTAAATAAACAGTGACAATACACAGCCTTGATGTACTCCTTTCCCAATTTGGAACCAGTTACTCCATGTCAGGTTCTAACTGTGGCTTCCTGATCTGCATACAGATTTCTCAGGAGGCAGGTAAGGTATTCTGCTGTTCCCATCTCTTTAAGAATTCTCCAGTTTGTTGTGATCTACAAAGTCAAAGTCTTTGGCATAGTCAATAAAGCAGATGTTTTTCTGGAATTTCCTTGCTTTCTCTATGATCCAACGAATGTTGGCAATTTGATATTTGGTTCCTCTGTCTTTTCCAAACCTGGCTTGTATATCTGGAAGTTCTTGATTCACATACTGCTGAAGCCAAGCTTCATGGATTTTGAGCATAACCTTACTAGCATGTGAAATGAGCACAACTGACTGGTAGTTTGAATATTCTTTGGCATTGCCTTTCTTTGAGATTGGAATGAAAACTGATCTTTTCCAGTCTTGTGGCCAATGCTGACATATTGAGTACAACACTTTAACAGCATCATCTTTTAGGATTTCAAATAGCTCAGCTGGAATTCCATCACCTCCACTAGCTTTGTTTGTAGTGCTAGGCCCACTTGACTTCATACTCCAGGATGTCTGGCTTTAGGTTAGTGACCACACCATCATGGTTATCCTGGTCAAGAAGATCTTTTTTGTACAGTTCTGTGTATTCTTGACACCTCTTCTTAACCTCTTCTGGCTCTGTTAGGTCCTTACTGTTTCTGTCCCTTATTGTGCCTATCCTTGCATGAAATATTCCCTTGATATCTCCAATTTTCATGAAGAGTTCTTTAATCTTTCCCATTCTGTTGTTTTCCTCTACTTCTTTGAACTGTTTATTGAAGAAAGCCTTCTTATCTCTTCTTGATATACAAAAAACTTACATAGCTTAATATCAAAAAACCATACAACCCAATCAAAAAATGGGCAGAAGACCTAATTAGACATTTCTCTGAAAGACATACAGATGGCCAACAGGCACATGAAAAGATGTTCAACACGGCTAATTATAGAGAAGTGCAAATAAAAACTGCAGTGAAGAATTACCTCACACTAGTCAGAATGGTCATCATCAAAAAGTCTACAAATAGTAAATGCTGGAGAGGATGTGGAGAAAAGGGAGCCGCCTGCACTGTTGCTGGGAATGTAAATTGGTACAGACGCTGGAAAACAATATGGAGATTCCTTAAAAAACTAAAAATAGAGTTACTGTAAGATCTAGCAATTCCATTCCTGGGCACATATCTAGAAAAGATGAGGGGTCTAATTCAAAACGATACATGTTCACTGCAGCGCTGTATGCAGCAGCCGTGGTGTGGGGGCAGCCCAGACATCTACTGACAGACGGGTGGACAAAGAGGGTATGGTGAGTATATGTATATGTGTGTGTGTGTGTATATATAAATATGTGTGTGTGTATATGTGTGTGTGTGTATACGTGTGTGTGTGTATATATGTGTGTATGTGTGTATATATGTGTATGTATGTGTATATGTGTGTATATGCGTGTGTATGTGTGTATGTGTGTGTGTGTATGTGTATGCATATGTGTGTGTGTATGTGTGTGTCTATACAGTGCATACAGATACACATACAATGGAACACTGCTGTTGTTTAGTTGCTAAGTCGTGTCTGACTCTTTGCACCCCCGTGGACTGCAGCCCTCCAGGCTCCTCTGTCCATGGGATTTCCCAGGCAAGAATACTGGAGTGGGTAACCATTTTCTTCTCCAGGGATCTTCCTGACCCAGGCATCAGACCTCAGTCTCCTGCATTGGCAGGTGGATTCTTTACCACTAAGTCACCAGGGAAGCCCTACAGAGCCATAAAAACAAAGAAATATTGCCATCTGGAGGAATATGGATGGACCTGGAGGTTATCACTCTAAGTGAAGTAAGTCAGCCAAAGACAAATATCATACCACTTATATGTGGAATCTAAAAAAATGATACAAATGAACTTATTTACAACACAGAAACAGAGTCAGACTTGGAGAAAAAACTTATGGTTACCAAAGGGAAATTTATGGTTAACAGATACATATCACTATATATAAAATAGATAAAGACCTACTATATAGCATAGGGAACTATATTCAATAATTTATAATAATCTATAATAAAAAAGAATCTGAAAAAGAATCATTTTATACCAGAAACTAACACAACACTGTGAATTAACTATACTTCAGTTGAGAAGAAGATAAAAAAAGAACAAACATTTATAAATAGATAAGTCAATTGGGAAATGAAGAGAGAAAACAGAGGGAAACATGGGCAGGCTTGACCAACGTTCTGGGCTGAATCATGTCCCTCCCAAACATGTTATGTTGAAGTCCTAAGCCCCAGTACGACCCAGGACCTCATTTGGAAGCAGGGTCACTAACTGCAGACATAACTAATTAAGATGAAGTCACAATGGAGTTGGGTGGGCTCCCAATACAATATGACTGGTGTCCTTATACAAAGGGGAGATGTGGACAGAGGCATGCACATTCAGGGAAAATGCTGTGTGAAGATGGAAGGCAGAGATGGGGCGGTAACTCCTTCAAGTGAAGGAACCCCCAAAACTGACAGCAAGCACCAGAAGCTAGGAGAGACGGCTGGGACTGACGTTCTCACAAGCCCCAGAGGAAACCACCCCTGCCAATGCCTGACGCTGAGACTTCTGGCGTCCAGCACTGTGAGGTGGTAAATTCTTGTTAAGCCACTCAGCTTGTGGTGGTCTATTGCAGCAGCTAGAGCAAACTCACAGAACCAACCAGACAGTAAAACCCACCACAAAGCTATGGCAATTAAAATACACAAACCCTCAAGCACAACAGAGACCTCAGAGATAGTTCCATTTATTTACGTAGGAACTTGACACATGATGAAGGCGGCACCACATGCCAACAAGCGACCCTGAAGCAGTTTACTACATGGACAAAAAGAACACTGAATCCCTGGGTAATGCCATATACAAAGGCTAACTCTTGATAACAGTACAAACCTAATGTGAAAGGTTGAGACAACTAGTGTGGATTATCTCTGACACCCAGGCATGAGAAAGTTTCTAATACAAAACCTCCAAAGTGCAAAGAAAGAAAGTGAAAGTGAAAGTCGCTCAGTCGTGTCCAACTCTTTGTGATCGCACGGACTATACAGTCCATGGAATTCTCCAGGCCAGAATACTGGAGTGGGTAGCCTTTCCCTTCTCCAGGGGAATCTTCCCAACCCAGGTCTCCCGCATTTCAGACAGATTCTTTACCAGCTGAGCCACAAGGGAAGCCCAAGAATACTGAAGCAGATAGCCTATCCCTTCTCCAGTGGATCTTCTGGACCTAGGAATAGAACCAGGATCTCCGGCATTGCAGGCGGATTCTTTACCAACCAAGCTATCAGGGAAGCCCCCAGAGTGCACACCATATTTGAAAAATCAACACATTATCGACTACATCAAAACTAGGGACTTAAGGATAGTAGATGACTAGGAGAAGATACTTACAATCTGTAGACCAGTAAAGGACTAATATTTACATTATACATGACTACTCATCAACAAGGAAAAGAGAAAACCCAAAAGAAATAAAGGACAAAACATATGAACAGGTAAGCCACAAAGAGGAAACATAAATGGCTAACTGCCATATTAAAGGATGCTCAAACTCATTAGACTGAGAAATGAATATTAAAACAATTGTACACTCACTCACAGTACAGGTACCACACGCCACAGCTGGAGGGAGTGTATGTTGATGCAGCCCTTCTGGAAAGCAGTGTGGCTGGAAGAAAGAAGCGTCCGGCTGGGAGGACGCTATGATTATGTCTGCCAGAGAGATTCTCCTAGGTTTCAAAGGGAGATGGGTACACTACTTGCCAGGGTGTGGCTTGTGCTGGCATAGTGGAGGAAAATCGTTTGTCTGTCACTGGGCAAGAAAATGCAGTGGGTACACACATTGGGAAGCTAACCTGTATTAAGAAGCCAACAGCAGGTATGTATGCAGATGAATGTCACGCCGAGGCAGAAGAAGGAACAGGAGAGTCACAGCACGATACCACTGATGGAAACGAAAATTTGTATCTCAAAATGATACACATTTTAGAATGATAAGTACAAATGAAAAGATCACCACTTTCGAATGCTGGGCTATAGGAAAGAGGATGGCAGTGGGATGGGGGATAAAAGGAAATAAGAAAACAAAAGGGATGTCTTTTTATAGTGCCCTGACCAGGGATATAAGTGTCAACTCAACCTTCTGCATCTGAAGCCCAGAGGGAGAAAGAGTGTGAAGCCGGAATTCCAGCAGCACTAGAGGGACGTGGGGGTGGTCCTTCCTGGGGAATCCAACCATGCTGTGCTGACTCTGCAGACAGGGGTTTGGTGATGCCAAAGCAGATGTCATGAGCCTTGCAAGTTACAGCCAACATGAAGTCAAACTGCCACTTGCCCAAACTTGGAAGACGGAATCCATGCCCACTGTGTCAGGGCTTTGTGTGATGTGAACACAGAGCCAATTCCCACCTGGACTTTGTGAAACATCTGTAAATTAATGGCTTTGACTTCCTCCAGCTGCTGGCGCAGGGCGACCAGAGTGTCCTGCTTCTCATGGGTGTCCTTTTCTAGTAGCTTCATTGCAATTTCCATTTCGGTTTTCATTCCAATTTGTAACTCCAGTTCTTTTTCTAATTCCTTAAAGGATATTAACAAGGAGAATATTATTAAAGTAGATCAGAGAAATGAACTTAACTGATACTGTATTTTGGGCAGTGCTGAACATATGAAGGTCAGAATAGGTTAGGGAGATGCAGACAAGTCTGTCTGGAGCACAGCTAGATTTAATTTTACCCCTTTTCTCATTTTACAATAAACACTGGCTCAGCATCAAGTCAACAGAAAGTAGGTAGGTGGCAATGAGGAATACTCCAGGAATATTTTTTTAACATGTTAAAAGCCTTATTTCCATAAAACTAATTTGTTTGAAAGAAGGTTGAAGCATGCATCTGCAAAGTGCTGATAGAAGCTAGCTTTCAGGGAATGAACTGGGGAATCTTTCTGTCGACTCAGGCTCACACACTCACCAAACGGGCTTTCCTCTCCTCCTTCAGCTGCTTCCACACATCATTGTACATTTCATCCAGACCTTGCCGAGTCTGCTTGTAAGTCTCCAGTTCAATTTTTGTATCTTGTTTTGTTATCTGTGATCAAACAAGAGCACCATAGGAATGGTTTGCTTACAGAAGCAAGCTAACTACTGGGTTGGCCAAGTACAAAGTATTTTAACACATTATTGACTGGGGAATTATTGCAGAAACTATTGCCTGTGACTGGTGATTTGTTATGTAAGTGAATAATGAAACACTCTGGTCAATAATGTTCAGGTAACAAAAGATGTATTAATACATCTCTGGTCAATAAGTTGCTAAAATATACCAAATAAATGTTTTAAAAAGTAGCACAATTTCTAATTTCTATTTTTCAAAATAATAATAGAGAAAAGTTAAAATTTTAAAGATATCTTAATATGTTTGAACTTGAAGGATGAAAGCAAACAGATTTTTGAAAAGGTGGGCTCAGAAACAATTTAATTTTCTTTAAAACAGAAAAGTCGTTCTGAGTGGAAAAGGTCCACATTCAGTATTTATCTAGCATTAATTTTTAGCACTGGGTAAACTTCGAGATGAATCAGATACGGTCTCTACCCTCAAGTCACTGGGTGAGACAGCTGCAAGTCAGCAGTTCTACAAAACAGCAAATGGATTCTATGATGGAGGGAAACGCAGCAAGTGATGAGAGCACATGAGGAGAAGGGCCCAAGCCTCCGGACAGGCACTGGGACAGCATCACAGAGGACTGGGCCCACCAGAGAAGCTGAGGGGGGGACAGCAACTTTCACTTACAAAGGCTTAGAGGCACTTGGGAAACCCCAAGTGGTCCAGGCGGCCTGAGAGGGGCATTAGGGTACCAAGGCATCTTTGAAACAGAGCATCTTTGCACGTTTTGAGCTTGAGGTCTGTGATGGACATGTCTGAGTGCCTGCAAGGCCTATTTCTCACCTCTACGCTTTTTTCGCTTTTCTCACGAATTAATTCATTTTGTTCTCTTAATTGTTGCTGTTCTTCTTGGAGTGAACAAATTCGGTCTGTTGCAGCTGAAAGCTAATTAAGAAAGATTTTTATATTTCTTAACATCAAAATGAATCTTACTGCTCAAATTAAAAGCTAACATTTAGCATCCTCGAAATTGACAATGCATTTTTACATATGTGATATTTTGTTTTTAATCCTTGTTTTGAATTAGGTAATACAGTCACAAAATTCCAAAGATAAAAAAACATAGTAAAATCTCTCTCCCACCCTTGCCCGTAGTGATCTCTGCCCTTCCCAGATACTCTTTCACAAAAATGACAATATACCATCTATTTCACATGGGCAAAGATTTATGGACACAAAATATTAGAAACAGCCTGAATGTCGAATACTAGAAATGGTTTAACAAATCACAGTGAAAGCAAAAAAAAGAAACAAGTAGTTATTAAAATATTTATAAAAACTTTTAATGACTTGAGAACATACTTATGATATAATAAAATAAAGCAGGTTATAGAGTATGTTCTCATGTCTAGTTTAAAAAAAAAACAACAGCAACTGGACTTCCCTGGTGGGGGTTAAGATTTGGTGCTCCCAATGAAGGGGACATAGTTTTGATCCCTGGTTGGGGAACTAAGACCCCACATGCCACACGGTGCGGCCTAAAACAAAACAAAACAAAAAACCCCCACAACTTAAAAATGCTTAAGAAGAAAATCAAAAGCAAACAAACAAACAAAACTTAGGAAGAGATGGGGACGCTATATACCAAGTGTTAAAAATAGCTGTCATTTAGCCAAGGGATTATGAGTTTCCTGCCCCCCCCCCCCATTCTTTTTAGTTTTTCTAGCCAATGAGCAGAAGTGTATCTTATCACTAGAAAGATAATTAAACAATCTGGGAGTGGAATCACAACCAAACCACTAAAGATGTGCCTGAGGAAAACATCTTCCTTGCCTTGAATGAGTTACTACAGTTCAGGGAAAAGCATCTAGGGGCAGGTACCTTCATGGACCTGCTGAGGAGAGGCCAGCAGGAGAGACAAGACAGAGGAGCAGTGCCCCAACCAACCTGTCCTTATCCAGCCTGCGAACCAGCCTTGAGACAGAAGGTGAGGCTGGGTAGGGAGAAAGCAGCAAGACGTGTGCCCTTGGTGTGTGGCTATGCTCTTAGCACCATTCACGAACGGGGCCCTGAAGCCTTCTCTTGCTCAGGCCTAGGTCCACGTGGACTCAGAAGCCAGGACTGAGGTTTCTAAACATAACTTCTGTGCCCAAGCTAAAAACTAAGGCTTGAAAGGAGGCGCTAGTTGCTACAATGGAAGAAGTAGGCAAAAACCAAATGCTAATTCCAGTCCTACCCTCAGAGGACAGAGAGCACACCCTGGGTGAGAGGCGTACTTCTCTCTAAAGCACATTTTCTATTACAGCTGTTTGCTTTTGAAGAAAAAATAACCCAGCTCGTTCAGTTTCAAAAGCTAAATAAGACCTTCATTCAAAGTGTGCCAACTCCCCTCAGAGTGGGAGAAAATATTCACAAAGTAACTAATAAGGGATTAATCTCCAAAATATACAAACAACTCATGCAGCTCAGTATTAAAAAAAAAAAATCCAATCAACAGATTGGTAGATCTAAACAGACATTTCTCCAAAGACACAGATGGCCAAAAAGCACATGAAAAGATGCTTAACGTCACTAATTATTAGCGAAAGGCAAATCAAAACTACAGTAAGATATCACCAGTCAGAATAGCCATCATAAAAAACCTACAAACCATAAACACCAGAGAGGGTGTGGATAAAAGGAAACCCTCTTATGCTGTGGGTGGGAACGCAAACTGGTACAGCCACTGTGAAGAACAGTACAGAGGTTCCTTAGAAAAGGAACTATTACTAGAGCTACCATGACCCAGCAATCCCACGCCTGGGCATGTAAGCAGAGAAAGCAATAATGTGAAGATTCACGTACCCCAGTGTTCACTGCAGCATTACTTACAATGGCCAGGACACAGAGTAAATGTTCATCAGCAGAGGAATGGGTAAAGACGTGGTACATATATATAATGGAATAAAAAAGAATGAAATGATGTCAATTTGCAGAAACATGGATGGGCCTAGAGATGGTCATATTGAGTGAAGTAAGTCAGACAGAGAAGGACAAATATCATATGATATTGTTTATATGTGGAAACTAAAAAACGGGTACAAATGAACTTCTATACGAAGTGGAGAAAGAGTTACAGGTGTGGAAAACAAGCTCATGGTTACCAGGGGTAAAAGCGGGGAGGAAAGGGATACACTGGAAGATTGAGACTAACATATGCACACGACCATATATAAAATGTGTAATAACAAGGACCTACTGTACAGCACAGGGAACTCTCCTCAATACTACGCAATGGTCTATATGGGAGAAGAATCTAGAAGAGTGGATGTATGTATTTATATAACTAGTTCACTTTCCTGTACCCCTGAAAGTAACTTAACATTATAAACCAACTACCCTTCAATAAAAATGATTTAAAAACCCTAAAACTACAACAACAACCACAACGAAAACAAAGCATGCCACCTCATCTGGGAGAACAAAGAGTGAATCTGCTTGTTCTAAAATCAACTAAGGTCTCCTTGAGGGCCTACACACGCCAGGTGTCAGGCAAGGCACATTTATATGGTATTAACCTAATTTAATCTTTACAACACTATTGTAAGGCATGAATTATCACCCAGTTTGGAGATGAGGAAAGTGAGGCCCAAAGGCCCACTCCATCCCCAGAGGAATTGGAGTGCTTCAGTTCTAAGTGCGATGAAGTCTCTCCTGTGACGCTCATCTTTGAGTTTCTACCTCCTCTCACAAACCTGAGCTCCTCTCCTGAAAGTTGTTCCAGTCATGGCCCTGAGAAGAGTGTAGGAAGTCTGCGGTGAGCCTTAAACTGGAGTCCTTACTAACAGGCGTGCTCTGCGACTCTCCTTCTGGCCGTGACCCGCCCCGCACCATGGGGCGGCCGTCCTCTGGCCCCTCTCAGAGCCCCTCCTTCCCAGGGAGAGCTGGAGCGGCCTGAGCAGTCAGGGGCCGCTACCTGCGGGCGCGCAACCCCCCTCCTGCTAGCAGGAGACAAGATGTGTCCACCAAGCAGCCTGCCAGGCACGGGCAGCAAGCCTTCTTCCTCGGCCTCAGCCCTCCTTCTTCCTGTCCTTTCATTCTCTCTCTCCCTAGTGAGAAAGCAGAGAAAGACCGGTTCCACGCTCCTGCGCGGCCGAAACACCAGAGGGGCGGGCAAGGGTACTTCCACCCCATGGCAGAGCCTGCGCCCTCCGGACAGCAGGGAGACACACTACATCACAGGACAGGAGGTAAGAGAGGAAGGGAGCAGCACATCATAAGAGGACCTGCACCTGTCTCCCGCTGGACCACTGCGAGGTGAGGAAACCTGAGTCACTGAGAACGGGCCCGTGATCAGCTGCACTGACTCTCGGCAGCCCTGGCCAGGGCAGATCATAGACCTCCTGAGGGTGCGAAATTCTGAGAATGCCTGCCCTGCATGCAGCTCAGCCCGAGGTGAGCACTTCCCTCTCCTACCAGTGAGCAGCTCCGGTCAGATGTACCAACCACACCATATCTCTTAGCCTCGGGTCATGCTGGTTTAAGCATTGAGCTAAGGTACAAACCTCTTCTTGAAGCTTTGAGTTAGTCTTTTCCAAGCCATCTATCTTGGTTTGAAGATCCCCAACTGTGCAGCTGTAAAACAGAAAATATCAAGTAAATGTGAACGTATGAAGGTTGTCTTCCCAATTTGTAAACAATGAGAATAGAGATTTCCAGATTTCCTGTATGAAATGCAGAGTCAAAGGGTTTCCAATTAACTCATAGATGAGGATTCTAAATATATATGTATATTAATTGAAAAGTTTTCAATGTTTTCTTCCCCAAAGATGCTACCCATTTGTTTTCTAGCCAACGGAAAGAAAACAGAGTTTCTCCCAACACAATAGATGGGAACCAAAATACCCTGGTAGTCATACATCTAAAGTAATATTCATAACAAGATATTGGTACTTTTGGGTAGTAGGATCAAAGTTGATTTTTAAATATTTTTTACACTTTGTCCCATTTTTCACATACTCTTTAAGTAACACGCTCTACTTTCATACCGAAAAATACACAAAAAACGAGTGTAGACTTGATAAACAACAACAATAATAGTAGTAATTTTCTTTTTGGACGATGTACCAGGCTCTCATTTGTTCTAAGCATTTTAAATGCATCAACTTATGTAATCCTCTCCACAATTCTGTGAGGCAAATTTTATTGTTAATCTGTATTACAGATGAGGAAACCATAACTTTACATTGAAAAAGTCACTAAGTTCATACCCCTATGAACCCAGGGAGCCTGGCTCTAGAACCTGCACTTTTAGGCAATAGACCCTACTACCAAAAACTGGTGTTTTTTGCCATTGAGGGGGGTACCAAGAAACAAATCTTTCAAGGATAAGGAAACAAGGTTCAAGAATTGGGTGGGAGAAAGATAAAAATACAAATTGACACAAAATGAAAAAGACAATAAAACAAAAGATATGGAAGGAATTATAAGTTTAAAGAGTATGGCATTTTCAATTCTGTACTGACTATATAACTCACAAAGTGTCAATAAAATTGCTATTTTTTTCTTAGAAAACATAAATTACCAAACAAGATACATCCTCAAGAGGAGAAAAGCTAGATGAACTAATAACTAAGGAAAGACTGAAAAGCCTGCAAAGCGTTGCCTCTATTCATGCTTGGAGCTTCACATTTTCAAAGAGCTCATGAACTAGAAGGTGTTCCCAGGCACAGAAATAAGGCAAAGCTTTCTGATTCATTTTGTGAGGTTGCATAACCTTGAGACCATGCCAGAGGGAAAACTATGGAATAGTTACATTAGAAAATGCCTTAAGAGAATGATTAAATCATTAAAGCTATGATCAAGTAGTTTATCCCTGTGGAAAAAATACATTTAGTAAACTATATCATGTCAACAGATTAAGGCATAAAAGTCAAGATTAACTTAATGAATGCTAAAAGGCATTTGATAAAATTCAACATCTATTTCTTACAAAGTTCTCAATAAACTAGGAATGAATTAAGAATCTCTCTCTCAAAACAGTAGTCAGCATCATACCTCAAGAGAGTTCAGAAGTGCACTTCCTTAGGTATGTTCTAAAGAGCACGCCAGATCCTTTGCCTGTTTCATTGGCTTTGGGGGTCACAGAGGCTGCTCCCATAGAGCACTGCTAATGTGCAGAGTAAATTTTCTAAAGGGGTTGAGGGTTCAGAGAAAGCAGTATATCTCCCAAAAATGTTAGGCTGAGAATCTCATCCACTCCCCTCAACACCTGCAACAACTAGTGTTTCATGACACACAGGAGCAGCTTTCCAATTAAAAAGAAAACTCAAGATAAAGATACTTGCTTTCAAAAAAAAAAAGAAAAAACACTAGATATTAAATCTCTACTGAATTGCTTTTGAAGGTCTAACCCAGTGGTTTTCAACTCCTTTTCCTGCTCAGCATACTGGAGGGATGTGTGCTGATTCCCAGTAGCAATAGTGCTTTCTAGGCAGTGATTTCCAACTAAGTTGCTGTAGGCTGAGGGGTGGAGAGTCAGGTTTCATTCATTACTCTCTAAGTTGCATAACTACACAGAACAAAGGACCAAAGGATTCCCCAAAGCTTTTTATCAAGAAATCATACTTCTATAGCCTGTACACATGAGCACTGAATGACAATCTTTCTTCCTGATTAGGAAAAAAGTTAGTTATAAATATATGGCAACTCAAAAAAGTTCCATGAGGCAATTATTGGGCACTGAGAATGAACACTGGAAAAAGAAGGGAGTCCTACCTTAAGTGCCGGTTAAGTTCTTCCACATAATTTTTTTGATCAAGGACATCTGTGATTCTTTCATGCCTTTAAAAAAGAGCATAAAAATAGAGAAATTCTTTTCTTGCAACAAATATTTTAATTTATTTATTTGGCTGCATTTGTGGTCTTTTTGATACAGCATGTGGACTCCAGTTGTGGCACACGGGCTTAGCTGCTTCCTGACATGTAGGACCTTAGCTCCCTGACCAAGGATTGAACCTGTGTCCCCTGCATTACAAGAGGGATTATTTTTACCACTGGGACACCAGGCAAGTCCCAAGGAATTCCTTTTACTCAGGGTTAATACTTTGTAATTGTCCCCCAACCTTCCAATCACCTTGTAGGAGTACCAATGTCATTAATGCCATTGGGAAACCAACAGACAGTCAGGGTGTAGCAATGTCTACGTGGTCTTGAGTGAACCAGGTCCCAGGGCTGGTTGGGAAGACACGGAACACACTGGAAACGCTGCCCAGGAAGGGCCCTCCCTACAGATGCTCCTCCCACGTCATCCCTAGCATTTGAGAATGCCACCAGGACGCAAGGTGGAAACAGCAGAATCCATGTGCAAATGGCCCCTGAGGTAGGAGATGAAACAGCCCTTGGTTTACTGAAGGAAAAGAAGCTGGCTCATAAAAGAAGATCACAAGACTCTTCAAAACACAAAGCTGATCAGTCTGGGTTTGAAAAAATAGACACTGGGAATTCCTCGGTGGTCCCGTGATTAGGACTCTGCTTTCAATGCCAAGGGGGTGGGTTCAATTCCTGGTTAGGGAACTAAGATCCCCAAATCCACGCAGTGTGACAAACGAACAACAACAACAAACTTCATATATATATTTATATACATAAAAGACTTCAACATTTTAAAGTTAGCCTCCCCCCACCAATTTCTTTACCTATACATATACATAAATGAGATTATTCAACCCACACTCATGCCACAGGTGCTGGATTTGTTGGTCAGTATAGTTTTTTTTTTTAAACCTTTCTGCCCTCACATAGCTTTCCCAGGTGACACATACTGACAGCTTGTTGAGTAGCCTCTGTGCATATAATCATAATATCTATCTATATTTTTATATAGAGTATATGCAATTACAATATAAAAGAGACTTGGAGGGTTTTAGAAATGGAATATATATACTTCTCAGTATCATACTTTTCTCACTCAATAATACCTGTGGAAATCCCTCTAAATCTACTATACACTGGGTAAAATTTGCTTTTTCTCATGTCTGTATAATACACCACAGTGTGGAATATTTTGCATGTTCCACAATTCATTCAATTACAGATGTCCCTAAGTATCCACAGGGGATGTCTGGATACCAAACCTCTGTGGATACCAAAGTCTGCAACTGCTCAAGTCTCTCATACAAATGGGATAGCACTGCTGACCCTCTATATCTGTGGGTTCAACATCCTCAGGTATGAAAGGCTGACTGCATTCCCTTAAAGGTGGATAATCAGCTCATTTCCAGTTCTTTTCGACATTAAGAATACATTTTTAATTCCAAGTGAGCAAATGTTAGTACTTGGAACTTTGGGTGCATGCCTTCCTTGGTAAGGTGCACTGCCAGCATGCTGAGACCAGAAGAGTCCTCAATATGAAGACGTGTGAAAGACAACAGATGTAGAATATTCAAACACAGCCCAAGGCTTTACAGTGAAACTCCCTCCCACACTTGTGTTCAGGTCTATGTGCCTCTCTAGAAGTGATCCATGTATATGGAAGTACAACATGTAAATATAAGTATTATGTCTTCTTTATTATAACAAATTTTAGCATGTTATACACATTGTTTGCTTTTTTTTCTTTTCTGTCTCTTTTTTCAGGGTAACTTCTTTTAATGCTCTTGTTAACAAGGATGAGGTAGTTACATGCAGCATGAAAAGACATCCAAGACACACTGTGATCCAAGAGTAAGTCTAGTGGCAACTTAAATATGTAATAGTGCTTTTCCATTTACATCCAAACAAACCATAAAGCAAATTACACTACCAACAAATATACATTTGCAAGCCATTAAAAAAAAAAAAAGACTTGGAAGGAGTCATGCATGAGTAGCTTCCTCTGAAGAAGGAGGCAGGGAGTGGGATTGAGATGGAGACTGGGGGATCGTGTGAATGGGGAAATTGCCCTTGCACTCTCTATTCTTCCTCAGAGCGTAATTCCTCAAACAACGGGAACAGTAACATATTACCACTGTAATTAAAAACAGCTAAATAAAAACTAAAATTTCAAACAATGCAAAAACAAAAGTAGTATTCTTTGTCAGCAGTTACATGAAAGGATGCTCAACATCACTAATCATCAGGAAATGCAAAACAAAACCACAGTATGGTAATACCTCATACCTGTGAGAATGGTTATCACCGAAAAGACAAGAAAGAAGAAGTGTCGGCCAGGAAACAGAAAAGAGAACCCTTGTGGAGTGCTGGTGGGAATGTAAATTAGTGCAGCCACTATGGAAAACAGCATGGCAGTTTCTCAAAAAATTAAAAATAGAACTACTAAATGACTCAGCAATTCCACTTCTGGGTATTTACCCAAATAAAGTGAAAACTAACATGAATCCGTATATGCATCTCCATAATTCACTGCAGCATTACTTATAATAGCCAAGATAAAGCAACAACCTTCCTGATAGCTCAGTTGGTAAAGAATCTGCCTGCAGTGCAGAAGACCTGGTTTGATTCCCAGGCTACCCACTCCAGTATTCTTGCCTGGAGAATTCCATGGACTATATTTTCCATGGGGTTGCAAGGAGTCGGACACAACTGAGAGACTTTCACTTCACTCCTTTATAGCAACAACCTAAGTGTCCATCAATGGATGAATGAAGAAAATGTGGTATATTTATATAATAAAATATTATTCATCCATAAAAAAAAATCCTACCATTTCTGACAACATGAGTGGATTTGAGGGCATTATGCTAAGTGAAATAAGTAAAACAATGAAAGACAAATACCTTATGATCTTACTTATATGTGGAATCTAAAACAAACAAACACAGAACCAAAATCACAGATACAGGGACTGGTGGTGGTTGCCAGAGGTTAGGGAGTGGGGGAGAAGGTGAATGAGGTCATAAGGTACAAACTTCCAGTTATAAAATAAAGGAGGCTTAGTGATGCAGTGTGCAGCATGATGACTATAGTTAATAGCAAAACTGCATATTTGAAAGTTGCTAAGACAGTAGATTCTAAAAGCTCTTGTCACAAGAAAAAAATTCTTTTGTAACTATGTTAAGGTCATGGATGTACACTAGATGTATTGTGGTGATCACTTTACAATATACACAAATATCAGATTATTATGTTGCACACCTGAAAATAATGTAATATGTCAATTACACCTCAATTTTTAAAAAGTAGCATTCTTTGCTAGAATTTCATTAAAATCACGAAGAGCAGCATACAATGCAGAACTTACTCTTTGCCGCCATCTAGATCCTGCACATCTTTAATGTAGAGAGAAAAATCGATCACTCCAACCTGATTGAAAGAAAATGCACCAGTTTAAATGAAAGATAATTTCCCCACTTTCCACAAACCTTACTATCTTTAAAATCCATGGTGTTTATACTCCTATCTCCTTCCTAAACAGTCAGTTAGATGGATCAGCTTAAAGTATCAATTAAGCAAACAAACCGAAAGAAAAATAACCCCATCATCTTCTAGAAGAAGAACTTACTAAAAATCAGAATTCAAGGGAATATTCTGAAGTTTTACCACCTAGTAATGACTTGTTTTTCTGTCTTTATTCAACAATCAAATTGTTGACAGAAATCAACAAAGTTCTTTGGGTACAAAGTAATTAAAAAAAAAAAAAGAGAGACCTGGATCTTTAAAGTGGTGACCTCAACTGATAACTCTGACTCCTTCTTTCCCCAAGTTGGTGTAAAAAGGTCCAGTCAGTATTTCAGGGAAAATTCTCCGCTATAGGAAACTAGGGAGGTCCAAGATCCCTCAACATCTCAAAGTTAGGCGCTTTGTCCAGAAATAAAGCACTTGTGAGAGAGTGAATGAGAGAGCCCTAGCCTGCCACCATTGACTCCAGTGAAAGTGAAGCCATTCCTTTGAAATACAGGATAATTGGGTCCTGAAATATTTAAATCAATCACATTATAGCCATACTGCAGAACCCTATGCAACCATAACAAAGAACGCAGGGAATGAAAATGTAATGAAATGAAGAAAGCTCCAGGATAAAATTTTAAGTCAAAGAATACTATGTACAGCATTAACTCCTTATAGTAACCTCACTTATGTTAAAAACCAAAGCTATATGATGTATATATATGTATATATATGTCTTTTGCAACTTCTCTGTCGTGCCTTCCACCAATCTCTATTCCCAACCCTTGAACCTGGGTGGCCTCACTACCTGTCTTAATGAGCAGAAAGCAGCAGGAAGGAGGCTGTGAATTTTGCAGCTAGGTTAACAAAGGCAGTACACGCTTCGTCCTGGCTTTCCCTTGGGCACATGACTCTGAAGTTCTGAGCTTCTGTGGGGAAACTCTGGCTACCTTGAGGTGCCATGTTGGAGACCATGTGGAGAGACCAGATGCAGACAGAGATGTCCAGGAAACCCCTGCTGCTCCAGTGCCCGCTCACTGACCTTCTCAACTTAGAGGGCAGTGAGCACGTGCCTTCGGCTACTCCAGTCCTAGCCACCAACTGCCTTTATCAACAGGTGTATTTCAGAATCAACTTGCTGAGCTCAGCTAACCATCAACTATGAGTGATTGCTATTTTTAATGTGACTTAATTTGTAACACTGCAATAGAAAGCCAGAAAAGATTTAGTCAAAAACAAAAACCTATGTATACATAAATGCATAGAGAAAGTAGTCCCTCAAGTTTTTACATTACCTGTGGAGACAAAAGTGGGACTGAAGGGGGAGGAGAAAAGGGAAGCTTGAATTTCACTTTTCACATTACATGCTTCTATGATTGCTTAATTTTTTCCAACAAGCATGTACTTCTTCTATAATACAAAAAGAGTAAAAAAAAAAAAATATATATATATATATATATATATATACACATACATTTGACTGGAAAAAAGGAAACAACAGAAGAATGAGAAAGAATTAATATCCAAGTAGAAATTAATGGACTAGAAGACAGATAAAGTCTTCCTCCCAAAGCAGAAGTGATGAATAAAGAGCAAGATCTGGTTTTTGAGCTCAACACAGTAGACAAACTCTATCATGTGCACAATACTACAATTTGGAAAAGTGAGATTTTAAAAAGCTGCAAGAAAATACTCTCATGCAACTAACGGAGGAGATCTGAATGAAATAAATGATTTCTGGAAAAATATAAATGACTAAAGGTTTTTATAAGGCTTAGGAAACCAATAAATTGACCAAAGCTACGCAAAAAATAAAAGTGGTCAAAGTATGCGGATCATAAAAAGCTGAAATGGTTATACCAGCAAGTTTTAACAGACATTTAAAGAAAAATAATTCTTGCTATAACAAACTTTTGTAGAAAATAAGAACGAAAAGAGTATTATCCAACTTATTTTATGAGGTTATACAATCCTCACACTGAAAAGTTACAAAGACAGTATAGAAAAGGAAGATTTAGACAAGTGTAACCTGTAAGTGGAAACACAAAAATCTCAAATAAACCACAGACATTAAGTCTAGGAGTACACTAAAAGTATACGTACAATGACCAAGTAAGATTTATTTTAAGAATGCAGGAATAATATCACAACAGGAAGCCCAAGAATTAATTCAATTATAATTATGGGCTAAAAATGGATATGACATCTCAACAGATGCCAAAAAGTGTTGGATAGCATTCAATATTCATTTTTTAAAAATTAGTTATTTTAATTGGAGGCTAATTACTTGACAATCTTGAGATGGTTTTTGTCATAGGGTTTGGGACGGGGGCACACATGTACACCTGTGGCTGATACATGTCAATATTCATTTTTAAATAAAAATGCAAAGTTAGAAGAGAACAGCACTTTCTAAACATGAGAAGAGGACCTCTCAGATAACAACAGCAAACACTCATGCTTCACAGTGACATGTAAGAGGCATTATGTTGATGACAAGAACAGGCCAGGGGCTCAATCACATCTATTATTTAATAAAAATCCCAGACAAATTTTTATTTTGGAATCTGACAAAATAAATGATGTTCAAGGTCATTTGGCAGAATGGAAAATGGACAACCTCAACTAAATCTGAAAAAGTGGTATAATAAAGTAGGTAGGAGGTGAACTGCCAGAGCATAAAGCACATTATATGGCTTTGGTAGTTAAAAGACTATGTTACTAGCATAGAAATAAAAAGATCCAGAGACTAAATAGAGAGCCTACAAATAAGCCTCTGAGTATAATGGATATTTCAACACATGATAAAGGCGGAATTTCAAATTAGTAGGTAAAATAATAATATTTGATACATGATATTGAGAAAACTGGTTTACTACTGTACTTATATAAGAAATCTGGATTTCCACTTCATACTATGTCAAAAAGAATGACAGGCAGATTATTTAAATGTAAAATACATACATGTGATTTAAAAATTAAGTTAATTTTTAGATGTGGAAGGACCTTCTAGGCACAATAGTTTAGAAGGTATAGAGGAAAAGTCCATTAAACATGACTGCACAGAAGAAAAAAAAATGGTCTATAGGGAAAATGAACCCTGAGAGAGCAGAAAAAAAATTTTATAACAAATATTCTGAGAAATGGTAAATATCCTTATCTATAATAAAGGAGTGGAAAAAGATGAACCACCAATGGCTCGTTTAATGTTTGTAATACAACATGAAAAATCTTGTATAATATTTATAATAAAACATGAAAAAAAAAACAAAACTCCATCATCCTAGTTCTCAAAAACACGAATTTGAGATGAAGAGTTTTTTCTGTCTGATTGAAAAAGACCAAGAACGCTCACATGCTTTCACAACACTCATGCAGAACTTGTGCAGTCTGACACAGCAATCTCAAAACTTATCCTAAGAAAATAAACAGACAAGACTAAAAAACAAGTATAAGGATATTTATAACACTGTCATTATAACATGAAAACGACTTACATTAATAAGTATTGGTTAGGGAGGGACAATCAAGAAGGAGGGGATATATATATTATATATATAATTATATGTATATATATAATTATGACTGATTTGTGTTGTCGTATGGCAGAAAACAACATACCATTGCAAAGCAATTATTTTTCAATTAAAAAAGTATTGGTTAAATAAATTATGGTATATTCATAAAATGGATGACCACATGGTCATTTAAAATGGTTTATATCTCTTGACATCAAGAGCTATGTGGAACACATTGTTAAATAAATAAATTGCAAAATGGTGTTCTTGGAATAATCACATTTTGGTTTAATGAAAAAAGAAAGCTCCAAACATCTGTCTCTGAAATACAAAGACACACTCACACACACACTCTCTGTCTCATACCTTTTATTCATGTGCTGGAAGGATATATCCCAAAATGTAACACTGAATTACCTGTTTCTATGTAACAGGACAATATATGATACTTTGTTTCTTTTCAAAAAAACTTCTTTATATTTTTTGAAAAATATTCAACAGGCCAAAACAAGAAAACTACTGGGGAGAAAAAAAAGCTGATCTGGTCACAGAGCGATTGGGGAAGCTTTAGGTTCATGTCCAAACATGCAGTGGGGAGAAGGCGGGGCAGCAGCCCAGCCACAGTTCCCGAAGTGGGGTGGAGGTTAGGACCGGGCAGAGTGTCTGGATTTACAGCCTCCACCACCTCGAGCTTAGGCCTCAGCCCTGGCTACTGGCTCCCATGCAGGAGGAAAAGCCCATCATGAGAAGGCTGTCTTCAACAAGGGGCATTCCGCACCTCATGGCCTGAAAATCCTGCTCAGTTTTACCATCTGACTTTCCAAATCTCTCCCGAGTCTGTTTTCCCACTCCTCATGCAGACTTGTCTGCCCCAGACTTCCTGACTTACCAGCAAGTCAATAATTCTTAATGTTTGCTTAATCTCTGTGCGAGCCGTTGTGCCTTTGCCTGAGCTATTTTTCGCTCTTCCCCGAGACTTTTGCCAGCATTCCAGCTTTGGTCCAGCACAGCACCCTGCACGGCCCTTTGCCAGACACCCCCTGCCATCTGCCCCTTCCTGCACACGTCTGCAGATCCAATGTAAAATCCCTGGCCCAAATAAGGCGTTTGATCTAGAGTCAAAACTCCTGTCTTACCTGAGAATCCAAGTCTTCTCCTTTTAAGCAGAGGTTGGCATCCAGCACATTGAGTCCCACCAGCAGACCAACAATCACTGTCCCTTCTTCCTCCATCATCAACGCCTCAGGCTCATAGAACTCACTGCAAGAGATGGATTCCACAGGAGCACCTTCACCACCCTTCCGCTGGACCTATCCTGCCACCTCAGCTCTGGGCTCGTGGCCTGGCTGCCAGTTTCAGCAGCAGCCAGAGGCTGCTATGTGTGCATCCCCTTCTGCCGTTTATTCCCTCTCTCGCTTTAAGTTCTGTGATCTCTCCTCTGGCCTCTCCTCTCTTCCTGGGGCTTAGAGTGGACCCCTCCCACCTCTGGTCTAAGGCTCACGTCTCTGGTTGGACCCTGGAGCCCAGCTCTTCTCACTAGGCCCCTGTGTTCCTAAACGCCACTCTGTCCCTCTTGTCCACGGCTGCATCTTTCGTCTTCCTTCGTGAACTACTTCTACACTCACACTCATGTCAACATGAAGTGCGATCCTGCGATCCCCACCCCTCCCCAGAACAACACTCTTCCTTCTCCCCTGCGTCCCGGGGACACTGCCTGCTTTGCCTTCCTTCCCTCCCACTCCCCTTGGCCATGTGTAGTGAGGCTCCATCCGTCACCGCTCTGGTCACCAGTGATTAGCTAATATACCAGCGTGTGTGTGAGTGCATAAGAACTTGCTATCCTCAGAATTAGTTGTTTATTTATTTATTATTATCATTTTATTTTTGGCAGTGAGCCATGTGGGATCTTAGTTCCTAGCCCAGGGACGGAAGCTGTGCCCTCTGCAGTGGAAGTGCGAAGTCTTCACCACTGGACCACGAGGGCAGTCCCAGAACTAGTTGCTCAGAACAAAATCCGTACCTCAAAGTTATTCAGTGTAACAGAGAAGAGTATAAGGCATGCAAATTATTTGAAATCAGTATCTATCATGAAAACATTTGTTCAGTAATAAGCCATGACTTGAAAACAAATGAAAATTTTGGATGATAAGCCATACTGTAAAAGATATTTTTGTTTCAGTTAGATAACAGCATTAGCTCTATAAAGATTTTTTCCTCATAAATTCTCATATCATAGAGAAAATTCCTCTTATAATGATTTCTTTTGTCTATAAAGTTATAAAAAATGAACCCAGTCATAAATTTCCAAGATAGTTTGTCTTTACTGATGCCAAGAGATATAAAAGTTTACAAACTGAATATGGAATCCTAAAATAGGTAATCTAGGTATGTTCTCTTATAAAAAGCAGGGTTTTATAATTTAAAATTGCCCACTGAATCTAGTTCAAGTCATTTTCCCCGTATTATCACCCAATCAAATACTATTTTGTTGAAACTTAATGGAGTATGATGTCAGTTACCTGATCTTAGGTATTTTTGAAGAATTATCTTCAAAATGAAAATATGAATCTTCATTCATAGACTTTCAGACACCAGTGCTCAAAAAATAAAATTCTGCTATTTTAAAAGTAAGCCACAGAATAATTACACTTCATAATAATCTGAATAAAAACTGTACAGGCTTGTTCAGGCTTTTGTGTTAACATCTTACAGAGAAACATGAATGAACCATTTGGCTAAGTCAATACATTCTTATTTTAATTCCTAATGATGTACAAAACTATGTTCTAATTATGAAGCAAAAACTAAGCGAAGATCGGTGATGAAATACCTCAAGAGATTTTTATTGTCTACAAGCACTTTCAGATAATCTGCCAGTTTCTTCTGCATGAGTGCAAGATAAAGCCAAGCTCTGCCCCTTCCCACAGCTGTCCTGTAATTCAAACAGAGGATCAGACTATTAAAGCGTAACAACAAAAACAAAGGGAAAAAAGCCAACTTAGCCAAGGAAAAATATATGCACGCACACACACACACACACACACACACACACACACGAACGCCTGTGAATGCAAAGCTGTCCTGGGGGTTGCGGGAACACTCTGGGAAGGCTGAGGAAATGGCTCACTCAATTCTTTTCGGGACAATTTGAAGTCTGTATCAAAGGCATATATTTCCCTCCCTCCCCCTCAAAAACAACAACAACAAAACCAGCAAAAAAATTTAAGCCAGAAACATCTGATTTCTGGAACAAATACAATTAGATAAAACTTTGCATGTATTCATAAATTTCACAGGAAGCCAGGAAATACCAGGTTAGATTGTATCATGGATAAGCATTCTTTCAAAAGATGAATATAGAACACAGTTATTAAAGTACTGAACTCACAAGATTTCTAAGGCATTAGCTCGAAATTTATTACATCAAGTTTATTTTTGACATGGTAAAATGCACATAACATGAAGTTTACCACCTCATCCATTTTTAAGTGTACTGTTTAGTAGTGTTAGGACACTCACGTGGCTGTGCAACCAGTTTCAAAGGTGCAATTTTGAAAAAGATCTGTTTTAAAAGAAAAAAAAGCCTCCCAAATATAGACCTAGCACTGTTTAAGGAAAAAAAGATACTGTTCTAAGCAGAGTAACTGCATTTGTAATATCCAAGAGAGTATTAGATGTACTGCTATAATCAATATCTGCCTCAAAGGGCTAGAAGGCACCCAACTTAATATAACAGGCTTTGGATTCCCTCCACCTTTCAACAAATGATGTGAAGCCAGAGTAAAAGAAGAAAAAAAATAGGAAAAAAAAAGACATATGATGTTGGCATGATAGGAAAAATGGACACTGACATGTTCTGTTTGGTGGGCGTACAAACGGGTACAATTCTTCTGGCAGGCAATTTAATGCCTGCAGGTTATCAAAATCCTACATCTAGCAATATAAGGAACTAGTTGAGGATGTACACAAAGCTGTATGTTGGGGATGGCCAGCACTGCAGTTTGGACAAGAATTTGAAGACAACCGCAAAGCCCAAGGTGGGAGCGGCTATGTGCTCGTTTCAAAAGCAGAGTTGGGGATGAATAAATAGTCTACTACTAAACGGGAAAAAAGCTACAGTATGCACAGCTTAATACTTAATGTTTTCCCAAGTTCTCCTTCTTTGTTCATTAATATACTGCTCCTAGTTTTAGGTTCACTTCCGAAACACTTTTCTGCATTGGAAATAAATGTTCTCATTTTTCTTCCCTTCTTACAAAAATATTAGTATGCTACATATGCCATTTTGCAACTTGCTTACTCTACTGAATATCTGTCATTTTGAAATTCTTTCTGTACACAGGGAATTTCCTGTTCAGTTTTTCATAGCTTTAAAGTGTTTCACTATTGGACTGTGCCATGATTTATTTCCCTAGTTTTTAATCTAGGCCATTTCTAATCCTCTGCTGTTCAAATAATGCTGCAACAGCTATTTCTGTACCTGTGTCATTTTCACGTTAGGTCTACCAGATAAAACTCCTAGAATTACTGGGTCAAAAGGTAGATGCTAATGGTTAGTGCTAAACTGTCTTCCATGAGGAGTGCAACAGTGATGCCCCTGGGGGAGGCGAAGGTGAATTAAAATAGAATCTTCTCTATTTGTCTGTCTGACTTTGTACTGAAAGGATCTACAAGGATACTGACCAAGATATTAATTGTAGTTTTTTTTCTGAGTAGTAAGCTAACAGAAGCATCTTTTTTGCTTGCTCTTGTTTCCTAATTAAAAATTATGTAATAAGAAAAAAGATCATTTTTAATTTCCAAAAAAGGAGAGAACCTTGTCTGGGTTTAAATGCCAATACGTGAAATTGTATTTGCTGTGTAACAGTATGCTTAATAATAAACTATGATATGAAAGCAGTGAAAAGTTCTGGGTACTGGGCCACACTGTAAAATATATTTTTATCTCAATTAGACAAGGAAATTAAACTCCAGAGAGATGACTCTCAGGACACAAAGTCTGTCCTGCAAGTTTCAAACTATCTTAGAGCAAACAGTCTCTACTCTCCAAAAAATGCTAATCATAACTTCCAAAATCCTGAAGAAATTTTAGAACTTTTGCTCCTGTTTAATGAAATAGTAAAAACACTGCAGCTCTTTATGGAGCAAAGCCAGTAAGTCTTTTCTCACATGGCTCCCAAAAAGGCTACTACCCCAGAGGCATCAAGAAGAGGGAGCTACTCTGTATTTCCTTTTTGGCAGACAAAGGGAGGATTTTGATACTTAAACTCCTTACTTGCTGAGCATCCACTGGGTTAATGAGGGAACAGGAGCAGTGAGTTCAGCTGACAAGAAGCTCTTTGTTAGCATAACAAGACTTCAAAAATGCCCCTGTGCCTAACTGGAAATAGAAGCATGAGTGCAGGAGAAGGCAGAACCCTGTTCCACCCAGTCAGACCACCGAAGGACAGGGGCTCTTGAGGGAGTGAGCTGGCTGGAAGGGATGGACAATAGGACTACACACAGAACTGAGGAAACAAGGCAGAAGATGTGAGAAGCTCGTGAAAGTGAGAAGTAAAAGGGTCAGTTGCTCAGTCATGTCCAACTCTTCACGACCCTATGGACTGTAGTCTGCCAGGGTCTTTGCCCACGTAATTTTCCAGGCAAGAATATTGGAGTCGGTATCCATTTCCTTCTCCAGGGGATCTTCCCCACCCAGGGATCAAACCCACATCTCCTGCATCGCAGGCAGATTCTTTACTGTCTGAGCTACCAGGGAAGCCCAGGAAGATCACGGCTGGGCAGGGGGCAGCGGGGGAGTGTCAGCAGATAAATATGTGAAAGTCTGTCTCCTGCTACAGGCTTTCACCTTAGGTGGCACAGGCCCATAGGGCCGGACCCGGATCAAAGAGGAGGCTTCAGTCCTACGAACGCAGGGGGCGGAGCAAGCACATGAGTTTGGCAAGATGCAGAGGGTTTCAGAGGCCAGCAGACCTGCGCTCTCTTCCCGGTCCCACCACTCAGTTGCCAAGGGACCTCGGGCAGGTTACCCAAACACTCTGAGCCTCAGTTTCTGCACTTGCAGATGGGAACACCAACAGCTTAGCTCCTAGGGATTTGTGGAGGATGAAAGTAAATAATGAAATGTCCTTAGTACAATGCCTGGCACTTGGCAGGGCCTTAGTCAGTGGTGGTGGCTATTGTAATTACCCTAAAATGGAATGGGCTGGCTCTGCAGGAGAAGGTCAAAGAGAGTCTGGACAGTTAAGTTCCTTGTGGAAGACTGCAGGGGGCTCTTTTGTACGGACCTCAGAATCTCCTTCTCCTCCTGTAACTGCGCTTGCAGTGACAATATCTTTTCATTACAGAACCTTGTATGACAAGCAGGAATCACTGTCCTCATTTTATAGAAAAGGAAACTGAGGCTCAGAGTGGGGCAGATTTTGCTCAAGTTTATGTGGAGATTGAGCGGCAGAGCTGAGACTAAAGTCTAAGTAAAGTGTGGCTTGTGCTACAGTTTGTTCTAAATTAAAAGATGCTTTATTAGCAAGGAATTGAGAAATGGATAAATACAAGGGAGTTTTTTTTTTTTTTTAAAAAACATCAAATTGATGTAACTACTTCTCACTCACTTTAATTCTGGTAGATTTCTGACACTAGTGGCTATATCTGATGCTTCTGGACAAAGTTTCTCCACCAGCTCCAAAGGACCAAAGAAAGATTTATTTTGGCCAATAAAACTCTTCTTAACTAAAAGGGAAAACAGAAGTATTATTCATAAGAACAGTTTGCAAAACGTCTTCAGGGGCCCTCAGTCTCTCTCCCAAAAGCCAAATGAAAGCTGTGGAGCTGCACTGCTTACTCCTTCTGATTCAGTCATGGGGACTAGGAGAAGCCAAGTACCAAACGAGCTCTTCCTGCTTCTGATGACAGGGTTTCTCTGCCATACCCAATATGCTCCCTCAAGTGTTTATTGCCCACAAAATAAAACAAGTGCTCAAATAATTATCTATGAAATCCCTGCCCTTTCTCCCTCTTACCTGATGCCAAAGTCAATTCTTGACTGACTTTGTCAAATCATCATCACCATCCCTCATCTGAACTGCTGCAATAGCCTCCTAATGGGTTTCCTTACTCCTAATATTGTTACCACCCCACCTTTCTAATCTGTTCTCCACATAGGTGAAAGCTTTTTTTAAAAAATGTAGGTTAGATCTTATTTTTCCATTGCTGAAAATCCTCCAAATACTCATGAAATAAAATCCAATTCCTAACTTGACCTTTAAAGGCCGACGAGATCCAGCCCCTCCCGACTACCCTGACATCCCCTCCTGCTGCTTGGCCTGCCTCACTCACCTGGTGTCTTCAAACCAAGGCTGGTCCCACTCAAGACCTCTGCACCTGTTTTGTTTTTCTAGAAAGGCTCTTGCCCCAAACCTCTGCATAGCTGACTCCTTCTCTCCTTTAGCTCTCAGCTCACATTTCCCTCCCCAGAAAGACCTTCCCCTCTTACCCAAACTGGAAAGATTTTTCCCTTGATTCTCTGTCTTTTAACCAATTTTGTACCCCTGAATTAGTAGCATTTTACAACTATTTTGCTTCTGAATTTGTTGTCTTATCTCCTCTCTAGAACTGTGTTGTCCAAGGTAGTCACTAGCCACAAGTGGTACTGAAATGTAGCCAGTGCAATTGAGACACAGTGGATCTTTACGCCTCAGTTTAAAAAAGAATGTAAAATATCTCATTAATTAGGTTTATACTGACTATATATGTCAAAATGATACTATTTTGGCTATATTGGGTTCAATAAAATAAATTACTAAAACTTCACGTGTTTCTGTCTGCTTTTTAAAAGCGTGGCTACTAGAATATCAGAAATCACACATGTGGCTTGCGTGGCATTTCTATTGGACAGCGCTGCTCTAGAACCTCATGTCTTGTGGGCAGGGATCTTGTTTGTTTCCCGCACAGTTCCCAGCACCCAGAACAATGTTTGGCATTGAAGATGCTGGGCGAAGTTAGCCTGAATTTTCACGCCCCCGAAGCCCCCCGCCCCTCCCCGCGGCTCACCTCTCAGCCCATGTTTGAGGCAATGCTCCATCACTACAAAGAACTGCTGCAGGGGGGCATGGTCTGCATCCAGGCTGCGGCCCAGGCTCAGGGCAGACTGTAGCAAGACCTTGATGCTGAGTTTCATCATGTGCATCAGGTTGACGCGCTCCTCCATCATCTGGCACTTGGAAACTGGAGAGTGGAAGCAGGGACAGCTTCGTTAGCGCACTGAATGGAGTCCGGGTGAGGAGGCTAGAGGCAGAACAATGAAGGGAAGACCCGTCAGCCGGTCTGCTCTGAGCACTCACGTGCGGATTAACTGGAGTTCTCAGCCAACCGGCCCCTAACTCCGGGAGGTCACAGCCTCACCCGGGCTGCTGAGGCCGCGGCTCAGACCCCGAAGGCCTCTCCCAGGTAGCTCCGCGCGTTGCTACGGCGACGGCCCCACCAGCACCCACTGCGATTGGTGTCTCCCACGCCCTCATTCCATTTTCGACCAATGGAACGACGCATACTGCAGAAAGCCTTGCCCTAAACTGGAAGGCTGGCTGGGCAAGTGCGCCAGCCCCTCTCGTTCCTATTGGAGGAGTCCGGCTCGAGGCCTCGCCCCCAGAGCGCGCGGGCGCCATTCTGGCTTCTCCGCCCGGAGGGAGGTCGCGGCTTCCGGCTTGCTCGGAGTGGGCGGTACACTAGCCAGAGGGATTCCTAACCCGGCTGCTTGGTCTGTGAGTGCCGCCCGGAGCGTTTGGCGAGGCATCCATTCTTTGGTACAGGGCTCACATTCTCGTTGCCCGTCTTTCGTACACAATTAGTGGGCTGTTGTGAGTTTCACACTTCTTTTGTAAGGGAAAACCGTTAGAATAAAATGAATTTAGCCGAGTTTACACTTAAACTCCATTAATCTCGTCGCTTTGAGAGTAAAAGTTTGTAATCAATATCAGATATCTATGACAAAATTTTTTAGGTTAATTTGAGCTTTTATCTGCCAGTATAAATTCAGTGAGCTGCAAACATTTTTTTTTAATCTAAAAAAATACATTTTACATTACAGTCCAACAAATACGCATATATTATGTTGTTTAGTCGCTAAATTGTGTCAGACTTTTCTGCGACCACCGCATGGACTCCTGAGTTAATTTTTTTAGGGGGGGGTCGGGGGAGAATTTTTTTTTTTTTTTAAAGCAGTTGTAGGTTTCCAACAAAATTGACATGAAGGAGAAAAGGGAACCCTCTTACACTGTTGGTGGGAATGCAAATTAGTACAGCCACTATGGAAAACAGTGTGGAGATTTCTTAAAAAGCTGGAAATAGAACTGCCATATGACCCAGCAATCCCACTTCTGGGCATACACACCGAGGAAACCAGATCTGAAAGAGACACGTGTACCCCAATGTTCATCGCAGCACTGTTTATCATAGCCAGGACATGGAAGCAACCTAGATGCCCATCAGCAGACGAATGGATGAGGAAGCTGTGGTACATATACACCATGGAATATTACTCAGCCATTAAAAAGAATTCATTTGAATCAGTTCTAATGAGATGGATGAAACTGGAGCCCATTATACAGAGTGAAGTAAGCCAGAAAGATAAAGACCATTACAGTATACTAACACATATATATGGAATTTAGAAAGATGGTAACGATAACCCTATGTGCAAAACAGAAAAAGAGACTCCTATGTATAGAACAGACCTTTAGACTCTGGGAGAAGGCGAGGGTGGGATGTTTCAAGAGAACAGCATCGAAACATGTATATTATCTAGGGTGAAACAGATCACCAGCCCAGGTTGGGTGCATGAGACAAGTGCTCGGGCCTGGTGCACTGGGAAGACCCAGAGGGATTGGGTGGAGAGGGAGGTGGGAGGGGGGACCGGGATGGGGAATACATGTAAAAAAAAAAAAAAAAAAGATACACTATGGTTGTGATTAATAAATAAATAAATAAATAAATAAATAAATAAATAAATAAATAAAGCAGTTGTAGGTTTCCAACAAAATTGACATGAAGGTACAGAAATTCCCTTCCCTCACATGCATCTAGAGAAGGCAACGCACCTGGAGTGCCGGTACTCTTGCCTGGAAAATCCCATGGACGGAGGAGCCTGGTAGGCTGTAGTCCACGGTGTGGCAAAGAGTCAGACATGACTGAGCGAGTTCAGTTTCACTTTTCACTTTCATGCCTTGGTGAAGGAAATGACAACCCAGTCCAGTGTTCTTGCCTGGAGAATCCCAGGGACAGGGAAGCCTGGTGGGCTGCAGTCAATGGGGTCGCACAGAGTCGGACACGACTGAAGCGATTTAGCAGCAGCAGCAGCACATGCATCAGTTCAGTCGCTCAGTCGTGTCCAACTCTTTGCGACCCCATGCACCGCAGCACGCCAGGCCTCCCTGTCGATCACCAACTCCCGGAGTTTACCCAAACTCATGTCCATTGAGTCAGTGATGCCATCCAACCACCTCATCCTCTGCCTCCTGCCTTCAGTCTTTCCTAGCATCAGGGTCTTTTCAAATGAGTCAGTTCTTTGCATCAGGTGGCCAAAGTATTGGAGTTTCAGCTTCAACATCAGTCCTTCCAATGAACGTGCATAGCGGTTATCAAGACTGGAACTTCTTTTTTTTTAAAATAAGGATGAGCTGCATTGACACATGATGACCAAGGTCCCAGTTCATTCTCTGTGTTCACTGATGAAGTAAGTAGTATTGCACCTTCTGTGGGTTTGGACCAAAGTATGATATATGCATCATTATAATGACATTCATTATTTATGAGCATTTTCACTGCTCATAAAAACTTCTGTATTCTGTGTATGCATCTCCCTGCTAACTCCAGGCAACCACTGATCTTTTTATTGTCTCCATAGTTTTGCCTTTTCCAGAATGGCATTTAGTTGGAATCTATTTTTCTTTTTTTCTTTCTCCTTGACAGGGTCAAAGCCTCTTTAAGACCACTCATGGCCGACCCATGCATGGACCAGATCGGCTCTTGGTGGCAAGCTCCCTGACTAAGTACCACAGCTCTTCTTCCAATATTGAGCCCTGTCCCACTGGTCCTGCCCAGTAGCCACATGGAGGTGAACAAGAACACAGTTTGGATATTTATTCATTGAAACACCAGAAGTTTTGTGCTTCTTGTCACAGTGAACCCAGATTCCTGTCTGGTGGGTTGTAAACAGATGAGTCATTTATTTAGACCCTCTCACTCTATGCTCAACCCAATCCATGACAAATTCTTACCAAGTGACCTCTCAAGCCCAGGAAACTGTCACTCTGGAAATTAAAACTATTATAGACCTTCAAACTATAACCTAGTTCCAGCAGGAAAAATAAGCCCTTGTTGGTGCACAGCTCTCTCTGCACAAGTGCCACCTTTTGGTCTTTTAAATGTTTGCCCCTTGGATTGAAGGATGGAGTGGGGAGTGTTTTGTTTGTTTACCAGTTGTTCATTATATATGTTAAGCAGATTTTCATGTTTATTGTTTCCTAGTATTCTTTCTTTGACTTGTGTGTTAAATCTTTTAACTTTATTTGTTTGCTTTTGTCTTACGGGTCTGTGTATTGTGGATATTAATCCTTTGTTTACCTGATTTCTTTCATCAGCAATAATTACTACGGATATATAGTTAAAAAAGCATATATGTGTATAGCTTAATCAAAAATAATGATATTATGACTATGAATTTATAATACAAGTATTAAGTAAATATGAATGAGACTTGAGACAGCCTGGGACTGAAAATTCTAAATTCTCAGCAAAACCCAAGAAGACAGCTACTAGAAAAGAAAAACTGGTCTAAATATTTCATCTTGGTTTGGGAAAAAGAAAAATGGATTTTTTTTAATGGATTTTAAGTAAAGCATCTGGGTGGGAATGGTATATTTTAAATATTGAGAGACTCCTATGTATTGTTTATAAATTTGAAAAGTTTAATGAGATGGGTGATTGGGTGCAATCTCAAAAAGACAGAATGATCTCTTTTCGTTTCCAAGGCAAACCATTCAATATCACAGTAATCCAAGTTGATGCCCCAGCCACTCATGCTGAAGAAGCTGAAGTTGAACGGTTCTATGGTGACCTATAAGACCTTCTAGAACTAACACCAAAGAAAAAGATGTCCTTTTCATCATAGGGGACTGGAATGAAGAAGAAAGTCAAGAGATACCTGAAGTAACAGGCAAGGTTGGCCTTGGAGTACAAAATGAAGCACTGAAAAGGCTAACAGAGTTTTGCCAAGAGAACTCACTGGTCATAGCAAAAACCCTCTTCCAACAACACAAGAGACGACTCTACATATGGACATCACCAGGGGGACAAAAATGAAATCAGACTGTATTCTTTGCAGCGAAAGATGGAGAAACTCTATACATAATCAGCAAGAACAAGACTGGGAGCTGACTGTGGCTCAGATCATGAACTCCTTATTGCCAAATTCAGACTTTAACTGAAGAAAGTAGGGAAAACCACTTGACCACTCATGTATGACCTAAATCAAATCCCTTATGATTATACAGTGGAAGTGACAAATAGATTCAAGGGATTAGATCTGATATACAGAGTGCCTGAAGAACTATGGATGGAGGTTCATGACATTGTACAGGAAGCAGTAATCAAAACTGTCTCCAAGGGAAAAAATGCAAAAAGGCAAAATCGTTGTCTGAGGAGGCCTTACAAATAGCTGAGGAAAGAAGAGAAGTGAAAGGCAAAGGAGAAAAGGAATGATACACCCATCTGAATGCAGATTTCCAAATATTAGCAAGGAGAGATACGAAAGCCTTCCTCAGTGATCAGTGCAAAGAAATAGTGGAAAACAATAGAATGGGAAAGACTAGAGATCTCTTCAAGATAATAAGAGATACCAAGGGAACATTTCATGCAAAGATGGACACAATTAAGGACAGAAATGGTATGGCCCTAACAGAAGCAGAAGATATTAAGAAGAGGTGGCAAGAATATACAGAAGAAATATACAAAGAAGATCTTAATGACTCAGATGATCACGATGGTGTGATCACTCACCTAGAGCCAGACATCCTGGAGTGCGAAGACAAGTGGGCCTTAGGAAGCATTGCTATGAACAAAGCTAGTGGAGGTGATGGTTCCAGCTGAGCTATTTCAAATCCTAAAAGATGAGGCCGTGAAAGTGTGGCACTCAATACGTTAGCAAATTTGGAAAACTAGGCAGTGGCCAC